GACCCAACTTAGAGACTTACAGGAACAAAGTTAGCGCCAACGGATGGCGGAGGAGAAGCGATGGCGGGAGGCGAAGGAGCGATGGCGGGAGGCGGAGGAGCGACGTTTGGCGGAGCATGAGCGACAGCGGGTGGAGGCGGAGCGATGACGATAGAGGGAGGAGCAACAGGATAGACAACTTCAAGATATGTTTGCTTTGGTTAGACAGCTCAGTCAATCTCAACATTTTCCCCCGCCACCACCATATTGAATATTGTCTTTTGCTTTGAAACAATTTAGTTTTGTTTATAACAATTTAGTTTTTGTKTGRTTRRAATAATTGTAGTTTCACTTTAATGTATGATATTTAGTTCTATTTCGCCTTTTTATTTTCATTTTTAATATTGTACAGATTTACAGGTTTTAAATACATATTTTAAATATTAATTTTAAATAAATTTAAAATATTAATATTTATATATTTCTTCCGGCGGATTTCTGGCGGATGGTAATGTTTGTAATATAAAAATATTTTTTTAAAAAAATTTAAAATAGTAATATTTATAATTTTTTCCGGCGGATTTCCGGCAGAAATATCCGCCGGTATTTTTTAAAATTAAAGATATATTCTTTTAGAAAAGATTAATATTTTTTCGGCGAGAAAGATTTCCGGCGGAATATTCCGCCAGTAATTTTCTTTTTTATTAAAAGAATACTTAACCGTTTGTTAATTTAATCAAGATTTTATAAATAAACCGGTGAGGAATTTTCCGGCGGCCGTGATCCGCCGGAAACGGTGAAAATCTGCCGGTTTTTCCGCCGGAAAAATAATCACCGGTGCCATTTTTTCCGGCGGCCATATCCACCGGAAATCTCTATTTCCGGCGGATTTATGGCGGATATGGCCGCCGGAAAAAATGGGCTTTTTGGTAGTGTATTATTGAAGAGTTATTTCTTTTAAACCCCACCATAAACAATGCAGAAGTATCATATTAATATATGATAATGCCGATGCATTACGTCTAACCCAAAGACATCCAACTTTAGAATTAACGAGTTGATGTATACGTTTTTAAATATTTTTTATTTAACTTTAAAAAACCATCAATTTTTTTATTAACCTGGATATCCAACCCGCTATGCGAGCTGACTAATTCCATGACGACCACCTGTTTTGCTGATAGTCCAGAGTCACCGTATTTGAACCTCCGTGACCACAAGAGGATTTTTATTCCTTTTTGGAAGAAAAAAAAATATCATTTTTATAATCAAATGAACGAAATATTATTTGATTGGAGTGAATAACACATATTATTTTAACACAAAATAACATTTTATATATTTAAAAATAATTATATATAACTATTTGTTTATTTTATCACATTATAAATATTTTTATATATGATTGTTTCGTCTTAACGGTTTGATTTGAGAATAATATAAATCTATCTGTCTAACACTTAGAATAATTCTTAGATATAAAAAACTGCCTTAGAACCATACGGATTTGTGTATCCAAATTAGTAACGGTCAAAATTCAAAATCGATATCCGAACTTGTATCTGGATTAACATTCGGATTTGGTATCAAGACGTGTATCCAGATTTATATCGGGATTTAATATCATGATTCATTCTTAGACTTGGTATCAAGATTTATCATTTGGATTTGGCATATGGATTTAGTATTCGGACTAATCATCTGATTTTATTATCTTGAAGTCAAAACTTAAACCTTCATAAAATAAATGTCTTGCTGGAATCCGAATGCATATCTTGTGTTTTGAAAAGAAGAAAGATACGATTTTTTTTCCTTTGTAAAAGTCTTGTAATTATCTGTATTGATTCAAGAACAAAAAAAACCTTCAACAAAATCGAAAACTAGTTGATGTGAAGCCAAGATAGTCACCAAGATTGATTGGAATGTTACTAGCCGAATGAAGATCTATACAAGGTAAAGTCAAAAGTAGTCTGACAAATACTACTTCTGGCAAGCTGATTTTTGGAGTGCAAACTTAACCAGTAAGTTGGATCGGATCACTAACTCTACCAACTTTTGTCTTGGTATGCGAATATGATTGATATGTCAGACAAGATAAGTTATAAAGTAATATTTTATCAGTATCATACTTTATTTACTAGTCTCTTGACATACAGAATGATAGGTTGGGTTAAAAAAAACGTCTACATCCATTTCAAAGGTTAAGTACAAGAATGCACCAATTAGCAAAGCAGATGAAGACACGCATTAAAGTTGGTAAGCTACATTTAATGCATTGATAGCTATAAAATGCCATCCTTGTCACATGTTGTAACTCACCCGTTTTGAAAGAAATTCAGAGTGATAGTTTTTTTTAGACAAAATCGACGTCAACCATCTGAATGACTACATCAGTACTTCAGATCTGAAAGAGTATCTTCTTCCTTCTCTTACTACATCAATCCTTAGCCAATTTGTCACCAACCAGATTGTTTAGTATCAGATCAACCTCCCTAGCTTTCGTAACAGATCTGTAATTCTTCCCAACACTTGTCTGAATTTCAAAAGAATTATTATGAGAGTGTAAAATATCAATATCGTGTGCTATAAAAAGACAAAAGGAAAAAGGGTATAAAAAGAAAATGCAATCCAGATTCATATTACACTGAAAAAAGGTGGTTATGAATGACTCCTGTTTAAACCACCATTGATGTGACAATCTCATCTCATTCATTTTTCTCATCTTTCTTCCACATATTTTTTTTTATTTTTTTTTAATTAACCTGGATATTCAGCCTATTATGCAAGCCGACTAATCTCAGGACGACCACCTGCTTTACGAATAGTCCAGAGTCATCGCATTTAAACCTCCGTAGCCACAACGAGATTTTTATTACTCGTTGGATCGGGTTGACAAGTTGCTACATAAATGATAAATTAGTTTCTGAAAGATAACATAAACATCTTATTTTTAAATATAATGTTTATTTTTCAACGAATCAAACTGTTGTACTGCCTACCGTTAGCCTATTTATGTTGTCGTTGATGGGATGGTACAAATTAGCCTAATCCTGATATCTTGTTTTAACGTCAGTAAGCTTAGAAGAAATACAACTAACATTAACTTACGTATATTCATTGTTAAAGTTCAGATTAAGTCTTGCTATAGACATCAACTGATTCAGTTGTTGATAAATGGCACTCATCCTAGGGTATAAAACCATGAATATTTAAATTTAACTTCTTCGATGTATGTATTATTTTTGGGTTGACGATCTTAATTCAAAAACGACCTAAATAATTTGCGGTTAGGCAGTTTGTGGTATGCCCGTTTAGATTAAATCGTGATCTTTTTTGGTAACCATGTATTTCCGAGATAGCTAATATGCACCGACTAAACCCTGCACGACCACGAATCATCTAGAGACATCGTAGGTGAATCTTTTAGAAAAGATCTATTATTGATTACAAATAACTATTACATATAATATGAATAAAAATAAAAATAGTATATCAATTAATACTTTTTTCGAAAAACATATTTAATAATTAAATTAAATACTTTATTCAAATTATTTAACACATTTTTATTATCTA